ACGCACGCACACACGCATGCACATACACACGCACGCGCACGCACGCACGCACGCACATACGACACATACACACACACACACACACACACACACACACACACAAACACACACATACAACACACACTCGCACTCACACACACACACATACAACACACACTCGCACTCACACACACACACACTCGCACTCACATACAACACATGCACACTGCTCCGCATATACACAATGATACGCGCTTGTGACGCAGAGAAATACGAAGCAGGACTAATGCATGCATAAATGGGGATTCGGGGACGAATGCATCGGCGCAGGTGACACGCAATCGTCTGTCTGTCTGTCTGCCGTTTCCTCAACTCACAGACAATCACCCTAGGCAGGCGAGCGTACATCGATCGATACCATTCTGTATTTGTCTACACGGCAATACCATTCATACACACACACACACACACACACACACACACACACACACACACACACACACACACACACACACACACATACGGGAAATACCCGCACACACGCAAACAAGCAAACACACACACGCACATACACGCATGCACGCACGAACGCACTGACGTACGCCCGCACGCACACACGTCCACGCACGCACACACGCTGGGAAATATTGACGGAGGACACAGCCAGGAATAATTGAAGCGTCAATTCAAAAGTATCGTGCGTGGACGAGAGCGCGGCGAAGACAACGTATATATAGAAGAGAAAGAGATATAGAGAGTATTCGTGTGGAGAGAAGTTTATAATAAACGCGAAATTCTCATGCGGCGAGACTTCTACCTCGGCCTATTCATCGCATAACGCAGAGCGAGCACGCACGCACGCACGCGCAAGAACGACGCAATCCAGCTGTGAAGGGAGGCAGGCGAGCAGGCAAGGAGAAGGGCAGACTGGCAGACATACGTATACTGCCGTGGGCATACAGCAGGCAGCAAGCATTCTCTGTGAAGATGAAAGACAGGCGGGTAAAGACGTCGGCTGAGGGAACAACAACGACATTGAAGACTTATCGCTGGAATACATGCGCGTCAGCTTCACATTATCTGCGGATATTTGTCCGTGATCATGCGTCTATACGAGTGACTGACCATTATGACTGACTATAGGAGAGTACCGAGCTTTGCTAAGCAACACTTGCTAAGACGCAAACCCTTGCTCTTAATTCTTGCTATTGACTCTTGCTAAGAGCGGACGGTCCGAAAAGCGGACCCTAACCCACACACTGCGTGAGAACCCATCCAGTCAGGTACATTGAATATCTGTACGACGTGCGATATCTGTATACCTGGAAAACTTGGAGACTGATGGCCGGCCAACGAAATTTTTTTCCCCACTGCAGTTCCGGACCCTAACCCTAACCCTAACCCTAATTAAATTTAATTAACACTAATAAATTTAATGAAATAAAAAATTTTTTTTTAAAATTAAATTGTTGTAAGTAAATCATGTAAATATTTGCGTTAATTGGAAAACAATAGTTAAATGGATAAAGATAAAAAAAATACAGAAAACAGGAAAATAATTAAAAAACATACGAGATTCGAACCAACAACCGTTAAGACATAACGACGGCGCGCTACCTGCTCGGCTATACAGGGCATATGACATATGACACATGACATATGCTAAATAAGAGCTAAGTCTAGTGAATGGAGCGCGCTGATTGGCTGTGGAAAGATTGGGGTCCGGAACTCAAGTGGGAAAAATAATTTCGCGGCCGGCCAGGTGCTCGTTCTCGAAATAATTCACGGTTATCATCGTGCAGCGTAAACCCATTACGCATTCACATGCAATTTCTAGTTATAAGTGTCATTTCCGTGTCACTGATTCTGCAAAGCCAGTGGCTGAAATATAATTCGGTTATTTTACGTCGCGTCACACCGTGTGAACAACTTCAGTTTTTCAGTTGCTATCATATATTTTAGAAGCATATTCGGTAGCGCGACCTTCACACCGCGCGCGCATACTGTCGCACGGATGAGTAACGCTGACGTACCGACATGGACGCTGCTGGCGGAGAGCGAGCATGGCTTCACAGAGAGATGACTGTGTGCTTACACTGCGAGATGCTGACTGCTCATTCTCCCCCGGCTTCCCCGTCACCGCCACACCGCACATGCGATCTCAGCGAGTACCGCTGTCTCTCGCAGAAGACGTCATAGAGAGATCAAGAGCATGCGAGCTGCGGGGATACTCATGATCACTGAATCTAGCGTTCATCCCCACACTCGCTGTCGACTTCGGTATAAATTCTGCACCACCGCCGGGCGTCTCAGCTCGACTTTTACCCACTCGAGAACATCTCAGCTCGACTACTACGCGAGATTGTACCCTCCCATTACTTAGTGACGGTGAGAGGATACAGCTGCTCTCCTCGTATATATTCTATCTGCCTACCTGTCTACCTGCCCACCTGCTTACCTGTCTGTCTGTCTGTCTGTCTACCCGTCCGCCCGTCCACCCGTCCGCCCGTCCGCCCGTCCGCCCGCCCGTCCGTCTGTCTTTTTGTCATTTTGTCTGTCTGTCTAACCGCCCACCTGCCTACCTGTGTCTGCCTGCCTGTCTCAGAACGAATCTAGGTGTGGTGTTAGATGGAATAGAGCGCGCCAGGGGCAGTGTTAGAGGGACGAACTAGGGTGAACTGGAGGCGGTGTAAGAGGTAGGTACTAGGGTGAACTGAAGGCTGTGTCAGAGGGATAACTAGGGTGATTTGGAGGCGGTGTCAGAGGGAGAAACTAGGGTGATTTGGAGGCGGTGTCAGAGGGATAACTAGGGTGATTTGGAGGCGGTGTCAGAGGGAGGGAATAAAAAGTGCAGTGCGCGTGCCGATCACTTCCAAGTCGCCGAGCAAGCGTAAACGATTATTCGTTTATATAATCCATTCTATTATTTACCCTAATGCCGTTTCGTGCTTTCCCACGCTGCCCCAAGCACGGAATCTATACCTCTCGCGTGATTTGAGCGTCCGATTTCGATCGGATTTAACCCGATATCGTACATTATAATCAGACTACTCGTGCTCTCGTTCCGCTCATAAACCCTGTACTTCGGAGTAATGTCAAGGCTCCACATGACACAGCGCACATGACGACAATGGACACGTGAGCTATGCAGCCGATACGTTAATGGCAGACGAAGATGAGGTATGTAAATGACACGCCATTGCATGCTCAAAATTCTGCGCTAATACACTAAGAGTACGCAAAAACTTCACAGCAGAGTAAGAGAAAGGCAGTAAGTATAACCAGAGGCGCAGAAAACACAAAAACGAAACAAAACGCAACGGAGTGAGCAGCGCATGCATGCCTAAAGCATTCTCTTGTAAATAGTAGTTGCAGGCTCTGGTAGTAAATTTCGAATTCCTGCTCGTCGTTCCTCTTCTCAGTAAATATTGAATTTTTTTTTATCCTTCCCTGGAATACTGATAAGAATATTCGCGAATCACGAGACACGCTCTGAAGATGAATAGAATGCAGTGCTCGGCGTGCGACCGCCTCATCCGCACCGCATACATAACCGTACATAGCGGTACGTAACGCACACATAACCGTACATAGCGGTACTTCTACTTCTACTTCTATACTGGACAGTCCGTGAGGAATAAACGTCCAGGGAGTGCGCGAAGAACTCCAGGTGCACGTGAGAGACTTGCACAGAACATTTTCAAAATGTAGACAGTAACGTGTTCCAGAGATCGAGGCTTCTCTGGGCCAGGCACTCATTACTGAGTGCAACTAGCATACGGCAATAGGCTGTTGCGAGCTGTTGTAGTTGCCCAGCCGGAGATGCGTTTCACTTCCTCGAGGTGGCATAACAACGAAGCTGCCTGACTCAATTTTTTTCCAGAGGGACCCAGTGAATTGCTGTGCTGTTGGACTAGTGAGTATAGTGACTCCGGTAGCAGATTCCAGCTTCTGATTGTTCTAGGAAAGAAGCTGAACCTGTACCCATCTGTCCGGGTTCTGATGTTGTTGTATGTAAGCTGGTGTATGCCGCGGCATATGCTGGTGTTTTTGGTGAGGAAGGTACGTAACGGTACGTAACCGTTCATAGCGGTGCTCAACCGTGCATAGCGGTACGTAGCGGTACGTAGCGGTACGTAACGGAACGACGCCAGCGTGCCAATTAGTTTAGCATTCTAGCGCGGAGAATTCGCGCAATTATCTGCGGAGGCAGTAAAATCAATTCGCTTAACATTCAGCGCAAACGATAGCTGTCGGCGTGTTAAAGACCGAGGCGTTCGAACGGGCAATGATTGCACGACGATGGTGACTAACAAGCGATGTGGGGGGGGATGTACGTGCGTGGTGCTCGCCCTGGCGTGCGCGTGCTTCTTCGCGTGTTTTAACGACAACGCTAAATCAAACGAAGGCAGTGTGATTCAGCGCCGCGTATAACTGCGGTGGTTCGTCGGTCGGGGGATATATAGACATCATACGGCGAGCCGCCGTCATCTGAGCACTGTGTGCAGCGTGACGATCACGCACTCCCATCATACACGCGCATCAACGTATAGACTGTCGGTCGGGGAGCGAATGCTGCCTGCTCACCTACCTACATAATCTCTCTCTTTCTCTCTCTCTCACCTATAATCTACAAATATCGACAATACTGCCGATATATATATATATATATATGCATGTAGGCAGAATGCACCTGCTCGCAAGCAGTGCACGATGGGTAGTATTTTATGAACGTAGGCACAATTGAGACTACGACGAGGAGTGTCTATACGATTGCCACACGCACGTCGCCTCTCACCTGCTCTATAGCATTCAACGACGACGCACCTCAATGCAGTGAATACACACTCCATCTACGTATCAAATCAAGCGTCTGTCAGCCTTTTAACAACTACTAGTGAGCACTCAACCGCAAGCTGGCTTCGCATCCTCACAGCATCAGCAGCATCAACAGCATTGCGCCTTCATTATCTCGAACTTACATCGCATTCATGCACGGATGATATAAACCACCGTCCAGCAATGCATTACAATGCATATTATACACGCCTATTAGTCTGATAGTATATATTTACTTATATATAAACGTGAACGCAGCGGCATTCAACATGCCATTTCGGGTGTGACATACAGCTCTTCTATGCAATCTCCCGCTATTCTGCCTGCAATATCTAAACGTCGCCCGAGATGTGTGGCAAGCGCAAACTTCTCGAACCCGATATGCAAATGCCGAACAAAAACGGCCCACTGAGCACGGGTGAGCAGAGCAAACCGTAATTAACAGCGCCAACCACTTACGGGGCCCTTTCACTCACGACTTGAGCCGATAGTGACACATCAAAGCGAGCCACGCGCAAATAGATTAGCAACTGGACTAGAAACGTGATTTGCACAGCTTCGCGCAGTTCGGCGAATATGAAAAATGTCAGCGAGCAGTGTAAATATTGACGCTTTACGCGCGTGCGCCCCCTCGCGCGCTGGTTTGCGAGCAATTCGCCGCGCAGCTCCCTTATTGCTGTTGTTGCAAGACGCTGCTCAGTGTACTCACCAGTTCGCGAGCGACTGCATTAATATCGTCAAGTGTACATGTGTGTGTGCAATTACACAACACACCATGGCATGCCCAGTCACGCAACTTCAGGCCAGGCCAGGCCACGCCAGGCAACACGGTACAGTACAGCACAGCACAATGCAGCGCAGCACAACACAGCACGGCACAGAACACATTAATATACATAACACAGCACGACATACCGCAGCATGGCACAGGACAGCACAGCATAACACAGCACAATAATAATACAACATAACACAGCACAACACAGCACAACACAGCATAACACAGCCCATAATAACACAACATAAGACAGCACAGCACAGAATAGCACAGCACAGCATAACACAGAATAACACAGCATAATAGCTCACAGAATAGCACAGCACAGCATAACGCAGCACAGCATAACACAGAATAACACAGCATAACAGCACAGAATAGCACAGCACAGCACAGCACACTACATCAGCACTCCTCACAATCAGTCACATCCTCGCATACGAATATAAATTAATTACATGACACAGAAATGAGTTCTGAACGTCATCGCAATAGGTATTCTTCGTTAGATTGGCTTCATCAGCAGCTGTCCATCTAATTTAAGTCGGCACAGTTTCCTACATGCATGCTTTCATGGCTTCACAAACTGAAGACGCATTGTTCAATGCTAGCCTATATAAAGCCACCTTCTATATACGCCCTTGACCAGTATTGCCCCAGACATCAAGTAGGCCCTCGGGCTGGGACCATTTGCCCCGCAATCACGCGCGTAAGCATATATACAATACATGAGTGGAAATAGCAGCAGCAGCAGAGAAACTACGTCACATATAACGCCGGGGCCAAGGCCATGGAGGACCAGACAACCTGGGGTCAGGAGGGCGCATTCTGAACCAGTAGTTCTGCAGCGCGCGTATCGGTAGTGCACGGTTACCTGTGTCAAAACGTCGCGTTCGTATACTAGGCAGACTAGGCGCGCTAATTTACTAGATCCTATACTTTACTATACTTTACTATATCCTATATGGAATTGCCCGTTTCAAGACCCGTGGCAAGGTATCGCCGCTTCCTCCAACACTAACGCCGCCGTCGCCCGGACGCCGACCCCGTCTCTACCTCCCCCACCCCGCCTGTACCGCACCACCACCACCACCTCTCTGACCTCCAAATGAAGGGACTGCATCTGATAACTGATGACGCTCTGCACAAACAGAGACAGAGATGTTTCAGCCGCAGCGTCTGCCTGAGGATAATATCAAGAGTACATAATAGGAGAATAATCTCCTATTATGTACTCTTGATAATATATATCAGCATCTGTGCACGCCGAGGAAGGCACGGACGCTCGCATTAACACAATTCTACATTTATCAATCGAAATTAATGGTAATACTATTTTAATAAGTCGTCTCTGCGTCGAGGAGATTAAATCGTCATGGACTTCGTCTCGAGAGAGATATGTTTGATGTACGATCGCATTTCTCGGTCTCTCAACGCAGGGAAACGTGAAACTCCGGTCGTCCTTACTGCTAAATAAACAGGGACGGTGAAGGTGAAGGTGACGGTGACGGTGACGGTGACGGTGACGGTGACGGTGACGGTGACGGTGACGGTGACGCGGTAAAGGGAACAGCTAGGAGCGGGTTCATGACACGTACCGACGAGTCTATATACAATCACATCTATCAAAATGCTGCTGCTACTCTCGCCAGTTCAATACGCCTGCTCACCCAACTACAACTGCTACAGCTGTTGCTGCTTCTATGCATACGCCAACCGTTAGTACTACGGTGTTTTGACGTGGCTTTTGAGTGACTTGCCCCTACAGACCGAATAAGAAGACCCTACGTAATGCCACGAATACATGTAACGCAGTTATTCACCGATAGACGCGAAGGACGGACAGACGGAAGAACGTTAGTGTCATTCCACAAGCTTCATCCAACTCTACCAGAAGAGCTGTATACACATCTGGCAGGAAATTACACGCTTTCTGGTGTAGATTCGTAGCGGAAGGACGGACGGAGAGAATGGAAAGGGAATGGAAGGAAAGGATGGGTGGATGGCGGGGAAGAGGAAGTGGAGAAAGATAGTAAACAGAAGGAATAGGGAAAGGCGGCAGGACAGGTACAGGGAAATAGACGAACAAAATGAAGTGCAGGTATGCACCAACCGATGGACTAGTTTCACGCAATAAAGATAAACTCACCAAGATCACAGCCACCACCCTGCTTGTACACTCGTCCACCACTGGGCTGCAAACAACTGAAACACACAAAAAATACGGTTTGTTATTCATACCAAACTTGCCGACAAACCCTAAACTGAAATATAAATACTATGTCGTACTACAAACGGATTCGGTGATAATAAATTAGTATAATTATTAAAATAATATTAATAATAATAACAATAGTAACAACAATTGCTAATATGATTATTATTATTGTAAAATTAGTCGTGTGTTTAAAAACCGCACAGTAAAAATAGCAGCGTGTCTGTTTAATCACGTGGTTGCTTCTATATTATGGTAACAGACTCATGGCTTCCCGCATCAACAGCACACGTTATATAAATGCCACGCGAGCTTCAACCAACGCCAACTCTAGATACTTCCAATCTGGACGCGACATGAAACCAAACGAGAGACGAAATGTGGTGCGAGTCCGATGACAAAGAATATAATGCGTTCAATCAACTCGATCTACACAGGCTATCCTCGGTACATGTACGCGCGCGCACACGTGCACATGAGCGTGCATACGCACACACGCACGCACACACGCACACACACACACACACGCACGTACGCACGCGCGCGCACACACACACACACTCACTCACGCACGCACGCACACACACACACACACACACACGCACGCGCGCACGCGCGCGCGCACACACACTCACTCACGCACGCACGCACGCACGCACGCACACACACGTATACGCACGCACACACACATACGCACGCACGCACGCACGCACACACGCACACACACACACGCACACACGCACACACACATACGCACACACACGCGCGGCGCGCACTGACACAAACATACACGCACACGCGCGCGCATACTGACACAAACACAAACGCACACGCACGCACGTACGCACGCGCACGCACACGCCCACGCACACCCCGTTATCAGTGTCAGTGTCAGTGTGCAGCGGCAGCCATGGCGGCAGCCAGCGTTTGTTGCAGCTGAGCATTTGGACGGCATTTACAGGAAATTGTCGGCAATAATAGGTGAAACAGAGTATAGAAACATTAAGACTTTGGTAGTAAATAGATTTCGTATTTATTTAGCATTATATTTTATTGAAACGCTCCAAGTGCCTGTGGTCTCACACCTGCACGCAATGCAACACGACTCCCGTAATGTGACGCAGGACAGCGGGAGAGTGCGAACGTACGATCGAAGCCGCCACCCCCCCCCCATTCCTCGTTAGACATGGTACACCGACGCAAGGCTTTCTTATAGCGGTGATAAGTGTTCGTGATTGTCAGACGGGTGTGAGTGCATTGCTGTGTTCGCACCGACCGTCTTCGCCCACCGTCACTATTACTTACAAGTATAGTTCATGGTCGATGAATGACGATGATACGGGAAGAGAACGTTACTGTGAACGCTCAAAACACAGCATAGCAACATTTACATAGACGTCTTATGCTGGGTCTGACACTCATGGCGTTGTTCCTGTTATCTCTACTGTTACTTGGGCAAAATATCTAAAAATATATTCGAATAGGGATGCAGGATAATTGTATCCCCCGAACGAAGTTCGTGGGGATACTATGGATTTGGCATCGTCGCG